CTACTCTTCCTTCTGTACATCAATGATATTTCGACTGAACTCGGAAATTCGCAAACTTTTACTTATGCCGATGACCTCAAGTGTGTTTACTCATACTCTAAGGACACCGCAAATGTTTGTGTTGAAAAAATAAATGCCGATTTACTACGCTTAAGCAAATGGGGTTCGACATGGCAGATGGAGTTTTCATCATCCAAGTGTAGTTTCATGTCTTTTGGTCCTGCCTTACTTCCTGGTCCCATAATTTTTCAGAATAGCCCACTCTCAGAATGCCTCACCATAAAGGACCTAGGTCTAAGTTATACAAATAAGCTTGCTTTATCACCTCATGCAGATAGAATCTCTGCCAAAGCCGCGCAGCTATGTGGATTCATATCGCATAATTTTTTCCTTCCGGAAATGAAGCTTAGACTTTATCAAATGTTTGTTCTTCCAGTCCTCGAATATTGCTGTCCTTTTTTCGGTTTAATGAACGCCTACGACCGTAATAAAATCGAAAATGTTCAGAGGGTTTTCACCCGTAAACTGTTCTCTCAAGCTTCGTCCAGTATTTCTTATACTCAGAGATGTCAGCTGGCGAACATGAAGTTTTTGTGGGTTTGAAGATTCGAAGCTGGCCTTTGCTTCCTTTTTCGCATCAACTCTAGTTCCAGTCTTCCGCACATTGACACTCTCAGTCCGAGAGATCGGTCTTATGCCACGCGCAACTCCTGCATGGTGATTCCGCCGCCTCTTTGTACTACATCTAGGCGCTCCCTCTTCTTTGCTTCCAAATCTGCCTTCCTTTGGAATAATCTTCCGCCTGAAATTAGATTATCGCCTAAGTTACTAGTATTCAAGTCGAAATTGCGCAAACATCTTACACCGGAAAGCATAAAGGCACTGTTGACGGTCTCATTCCCGAACACTCAGATTCTTGACTTCGAGGAGGGTCCTCCTGGGATTTAGTGGTAGATGAAGTGGTAACTCTTAATTATATCATTAGAAACCCCTGTTTTGAATTGGTTTCTAAATCCATTGCTATCCTTCCCCCCCCCGATAGCGACAATTTTCGCGGTTTTTGATGTCACCTCCCGCATTCCGACCTCATGCGGTCTGTCGACGCTCACGGCGGAACCCTCAGTCTTCACTGTCTACTAGTAGCTCGGTCGTACCTCCCTTCCTCACTGCTCGGCTGAGCTCGAAGCGTGCTGTGTCCGATCGCATCTGGGTTCCTCTCGTCTGGCCTCTTTGACGCGGCGTACCAATCAGGCCCAGACGATCTCAATTGTGAATCCCATATACAATGCCATTTGCAAGCCAGTCCTGTATGACCCACATTCGTACCCATCAAGGCGGACATTTATTGATACCCTGACGATGACCGACAACATTCCGTTATATACCGCCACCTACAGGCCAGTCCTGCTCTCTTTTTTCTGTTATTATTTTTATGGAGGGGTTTTTTTCTCCTGTAAAATTAATCCAATCCTTTTTAACTTTTTTAAGGAGTTTTTTTCACCCCTCAATCATCATGTTTCTCAATGGACTTCTAATTTAGAAACTAGGAATTGCATTTTGTAAAGATTAGGCCTACCTCGTCTAAAACTCGCATGCAAATTAATTTTAACTTGATTGATTGATGGGACCCCGACGGGTCTTTAATAAAAATTATCTATCTATCTATCTATTTATAAGGTCCCCTTGAGCTACCCTAAGCTACTGGGCCAGCGCCTGTTAGCAACAGCAGAAGCGGCCGCTATCCGTTTACGAAAACCGATCCTATGCGCCCAAAAGAACCTTGTTCAGGCTCTGCGCTTACCGTGGTCAAAGGTTACTAACCACATACAACTTTCAGCGCCCTTCCGCTCTTGCCTAGCTTGTGTTTTTAAAAACTAACTTTTATCGATTTTTGTCTCACTCACTGTACCCCGTCCTATGAAACTGTATTGGCCTGATGGGGAGTTACCGAAAGGAACGTTCACTCGCCAGTGCCTCTTCGGAAAGTATTTTTCTCCAAACGTGTCGTGAAATCTTGGAGTAACCTGCCGGATGCTTTTTTATGTCTCTATCTCTGGAGACATTTAATTGTCGGCTTGACAGACATATGCTGCAGCAACAAGCGGACTATGTGACTTCGTATCCATAAAGCCAGTGACCTATGTGAATCTATATCTGCATTCACATAATGTTGTAATTTTTTCATATTTTTGCTCATTTTCTCAATTGTTTACGTACAAATAGGTAGTTCAAATGCGTAAGCCTATTTCCCTCAAATACACTGGCCGACTGACTTCTCCGTATCCCAATTCTTAAAGCGAGACGAGGCGAACCAAGCCATGCGTTTAAACTCCAAGTCTTTATTGACGCCTCCGAAACCGCTTATGGCGCAGTCACCTACATGGTCCTGGGGAGCAAAAGTTAAACAGCGCTATTTGATTGATATCTTCTTAAAGCAGGATTGCCTCCTATTCGATTGACTAGCATATCACGCCTGGAGCTGACAGCAAATGTTGTAGTCGTTAAGGTAACCAGGTTGATTTGCACAGGTATGAGAGCGAAGATTTCAACAACTTTTACTGGACAGACTCTTTATTGGTGCCTTTAAGCATTTGCAACACTTCGAACCGTTTTCCCGCCTTTTTCTCCAATTGCTTATCGTTTACACACGATCTCTCTAATCCAGCCAAGTGACGCTACATCGAATCCAGTCGGAATCCCACCCACC